TTTTTTGGTTAGTTGCTTCTTTAAATTTTGCACGCCCTTCAAAAAATGTTGGCTCCACCATCTTGGGTGGACCTACAGTTGGTCAAGTGAGTTCATATGAGCACACTTCATTATGTATTACATTTTTACTCCATTTTGCATTAATGTGATGTTTCGCTTTAGCGGAGAAGAGGGTTCATTTTGTCCACCAACGCTTAGGGGTGTACAAAATCGAATCGATAACCGAAACAACCATAAAATGAGTCAAATCGAAAAAAAACTTGTATAGTGGTTTGGTTTGATTTAGTTTGGTATCGAAAAAAGAACCCGACTATATATGGGTTGGTTTGACTTATAGTTTTAGTACTCGTTTAATTAAAAGTTTCTTTATTTCATAATACTAGTTCTTGACACGTGCCTTGCACATTAGTCCCACGAATACAAGTACATAATTACATAAAAATATGGGTTGCATACCAAATCCATTTTGGACAACCATACCTTAACTCCAAAATGATAACGAAAAACTTCAAATCGTAATCTAACATAAAAAAGATCTAAAGAAATATATAAGTCATATCTTATACTGTTAAGTTTAACCGTTGAATTATACTGTAAAAAACATCTCTTGCTTGTCTTTTAATTTCAGAATAAATTAAAGTTATTTGTTCTTCTCCCCAGTTAGCTTCTTGACGACATGTACTCATATCATAATTTAGGAAGAAGAAAAGAGAATAGTAGATGATAGAAAAAAAAGGAATGTGATGACCTAGGAAGCAATTAACTGGCATTTATAATGATATTTGATTGCCTTTTCATATACCAAAATTTTTTAATGGGGCACATAAAATCATGATAGATACATTTATTTTAGTTTCTAAATTCAAAGAATCACAAACTTTAAAGAGTTTTATACATTATTGTTTTATGATAAGATAAATTTATGTTAATTTCAAAATTCAAAGAATCACAAAATTCGAAGAGTTCCATACATTATTGTTTTCTACTCTAATTTAACCTATTTATTTACAATTATAATGTCATAACTAAAAAACTAAAGTGTAGTTGTTGGATTTCATATTATACCATTATGTAATTAAATATTAGTATTTAAAAATAAATTAATCTATTTTGATTTAGTGGAGGGGCAAAATGATAATCCAACTTTGAAGGTTGGAGCTTCCCATTTATAATAATATATAAGATTTACATATCTTTAGTATGATTAGTATTAAATAATATATATATCCTGAGATTGCTCGTGTTCTTACCTGCTGTTAGTTTTAGCATGGGAACCAACACGTATACTCACATTTTTCAGGTATGTTTCCGCATCTAAAGGCCCTTTATAGGAATTGGGCAAAGTCCTCAATTTTCGTGTGTATTAACCTATTGATCTAGAGCCTAGAGCACCAAAAAAAATTTTCAAAAATACTTTATGAGGACATCCGTATTGAGTTGGGAAGCAATCACATATACTCGCACTTATTATTTCACTCCCATTTCCACATCTTCAAGCCCTTTTTAGAAATCACCTAAATTCCTTAATTTTTCATGTGTTGATGCCAACGGATCAAGGGCTTGGAGCAACAAACAATTTTCTCAAAAATTTTGTGAGGAACTTCTTATTAAGTTGGGTAACCATCATGTTTACTCACATTATTTTTTTCAAGCACATTTTTGTATTTACTAATCCTTTGCTCAAATTCCTCAACTTTTCATGCGTATAAGACCATGGATTTGGCGCCAGAACACCCTAAATTTTTTTCTCAAAAATATTATGAGGACTTCGTATTGAATTGGGGAGCTATAACGTATACTCGTACCAATTATTTCACGCCCATTTGTGAATTTATAAGTCCTTTTTAGAAATCACAAATATTCCTAAATTTTCCTATGTATAAATCTCATTGATATGGCCCTAAGTCACCCAAATTGTCTTTCTCAAAAAAAATTATGAGGACCTCCGTATGGAGTTGGGTAACTATAACTTATACTCACACCATTTTTTCACGTCAATTTCATCATCTACAGGCCCATTTTTAGAATCTCACAAATTGCTCATTTTTCGGGTGTATTAGCCCGTGTGTGTCTGGAGCCCGAAGCACCCAAATTCTTTTTATCAAAAGCATTATGAAGAACTTATTATTGAGTTTGGGAACCATCACGAATACTCACACTATTTCATTCACACACATTTCCGTATCTAGAGGCCCTTTTATTGGAATCATGCAAATTTCTCAATTTTTCGTGTGTATTAGCCCACGGATCTGGCGCACAAAACACCCCAATTTTTTCTTAAAAAAACATTATGAGGACCTTTGTATTTAGTTGGAAACATTCATGTATACTCACACCATTTTTTGAAGCTCATTTGCGCATTTACATGCCTTTTTTTAGGAATCGCATAAGTTCATCAATTTTTCATGTGTATTACTCCATGAATCTGGATCCCGAAGCACCCAAAATTATTTTTCTCAAAATACTGTATGAGGACATACTTATTGAGTAACCATCATGTATATTCACACCATTTTTTATATCCATTTCCTCAATTACTCGCCCTTTTTTAGTAATTCCATAAATTTCTCAATTTTCTGTTTATATTAGCCGATGAATATGGCTTTCGGAGAACCCAATCTTTTTTCCCAAAAAGCATTAACCTCCATATTGAGTTGGGAAACCATAACATATAATCACACTAAAATTTTCACGTCCATTTCTGCATCTACATGCCCTTTATTTAAAATTGCACAAATTCATCCATTTTTGCGTGTATAAGCCCATGGATCTGGCGTCAGGAACTCCAATATTTTTTCTCAAATAATTTTATCAGGACCCCCGTATTGAATTGGGGAACCATCATGTATACTCACACAGTTTTTTTCACGCCCATTGTTTTATTTGATGGACTTTTTTTTTTGAAATCGTGCAAATTTCTCAATTTTTTTGTGTATTAGCTCATGGATCTAGCGTCCGAAACACCCAATTAGTTTCCCAAAATTTTTTATAAGAACGTCTATATTGAGTTGGGGAACCATCGCGTATAGTCACACATATTTATTTTCACGTCCATTTCCGCATTCACATACCTTTTTTGGAATCGCAGAAATTCCTATGTTTTTCGTGTGTATTAGCCTATTGATCTGGTGCCCAAAGCACTCAAAAAAATTCTCAAAAAATATTTAAGGATTTCTATATTGAGTTGGGAACCGTCACGCATATTAAAACCATTTTTTTCACATCCATTTCAGCATCTAGAGGCCCTTTTTTAGGAATTACGCAAATTACTCATTTTTTGTGTGTATTAGCCTGAAGAATTGGGGATCGAAACACTCCTTTTTTTTCTCAAACATTAAGAGGACTTTCGTATTAAGTTGGGAACCATCCTGTATAGTTACACATTTTTTTCACTCTTATTTTCGCATCTACATGCCATTTTTAGGAATTGCGTGAATCCTTAATTTTTCGTATGTATTAGCCCATGGATATGGTGTCTGGAGCACCTAAATTTCTCTTTCAAAAAAATTTTAAGGACCTTTGTATAGAGTTAGGGAATCATCATGTATACTCAAATTATTTTTTCACGTCCATTTCCTCATCTACAGACCCTTTTTTAGAAATCACGCAAATTTGTCAACTTTTAGAATGTATTTAATTAGCCCATAAATTTGGCGCCCGAAGCACCCAAATAAAGTTTCTCAAAAACATTTATGAGGACCTACATATTGAGTTGGGGAACCATCAAATATACTCACACCACTTTTGAATCAACTTTCTCTTTTTAAGAAATTGCGCAAATTCCTTAATTTTTTATGTGTCTATTAGCCATGGACCAAGTGCTCGAAGAACCCAAAATATTTTTATCAATAAAATTTATAAGGGCCTCTGTATTGAATTGGGGAACTATAACGTATACTCGGATTATTTCTCACATCCATATCTGCATCCACAGGCACTATTTAGGAATCGCACAAATTCCTCAAATTTTTGTTGTTATTACACCATGGATCATGCGCCACAGAGCACCCAAAAGTTTTTGGTCAAAAAAATTTATGAGAACCTCTATATTAAATAGGAGAACTATCACATATACTCATACCTTTTTTCCACGTCCAATTCTGCATCCAGAGGCCTTTTTTATGAATCGCGTAAATTTATCAATTTTTCGTATGTATTAGCCCATAGATCTGGCGCCTGTAGCACCCTAATTTTTTTTTTGAAATTACGCAAATTCCTCATTTTTATTTGATCAGGTGCGGGAGCACCCTAAATACTATTTTCTAAAAACTTTATGAGGACCTCTGTATTGAGTTTGGGGAACCATCATGTATACTTACGTCAATATTTTTACACCAATTTCTGCATCTACAAGCCTTTTTTAGGAATTACGCAAGTTAGTCAAGTTTTCTTGTGTAATTAGCCTATGGTTTTGGCCTACGGAGTACCTAAATTGTTTTTCTCAAAAAAAAAAAACTTTATGAGTAATTCCATATTGAATTTTGGGAACCATTACGTATTCTCATAATATTTTCACGCTAATTTCCACATCTAGAGGCCATTTTTTAAAAAGCGCGTAAATTTTTCAATTTTTCATGTTTATTAGCACATAGATCAACCGACCGAATCGCCTCAAATATCTTTCTCCTAACTATAGTTACTTAAGTTCAAGTAGTAGACAGGCGAGGCCCACATTTCTCCTATCACATTTTAAGTAATGTTTCTATATTATGAGTTTTAAGTCAAATTGCAATAACCAAATTTGATTAACATTTCTATTAAAAGGGCAATACAATTAAGTGTGAATTAAAAATGGTCATTTGAACAACTCCATCCTAATGTTGCTCTTTAGTATACATAATAATTCATGAGGTTGTTCATAATCTTACATACTGTTAGTTATAGCATAGGTCAGCTAAACTATCTTAGCAGCACTAATATAGCATAACAGAATATCTGTTCAACTACGTTGGGCTACAATATCAGAAGTCCATTAAAACCAAAGATTAAACTAGAATTGGCCTGGGCCACACAAACGCAGGCCCCCTCAGCAACAAATTATGACGTAGGCTCAACCACTTGGGCCGACAGGCACCCCTCCAAAGTGCAATGTAGGTCAAAAGCATGGTCCATGGATCTTCATGATCACCCATTGACCCCATCTAGGTAAGTATGTTTATTCATCCTACTTGGCTCACTATTGGCCGATGTGGGATAATTGGGTTCTTTTGTATCCATATTTAAATTTTCATGGTTAAATCGATTAGATATTAAAAAGAAGATAAAACATAAATTTAGCTAATTATCTCAACGATTGTAGCCTTAGCCTACATTAAGAGAGAAACGCACTTTAAGATATAAACTAAATAAAATTACTTCGTGATTAGTGCTCTCAATTCCCAAACTATTACTACTTCCACTCGTGTCTATAACTATGGTTCATTTAAGGCTTGTAGAGTTTCATACCACTGTTATTTAAACTGCTTTATATCTAAAACTAGGATTAGAAAGTTTACTGAGTTCTTCAATACTAAGTAGCTTGGAATATTTCGCCAAAAAGGAAAAATTATGCATTGATTAGTTGCAAGCTAAGTATGCTCGTTACAGTCTTACACAAAATGCATCAGTCTAGTTTAAGTCTTTAATTAATAATACTCTTTTTTATCCTAATTTGCATTGCATACGCGATACTCTCATGAAGCCCACACACAAACTTGGTACCCGAGACAACAATGATGATTTGACAAAACTCTCAAATAACTTTTGATGATGAAAACATGAACCAGGTTCACATACATGTTCCAAAAATAAAATAAAGAGGCGGGAAGAGATCACTCATAAAATAGGAAAACATGTTCAAAACATCAATCCAAGTTAAACTGGGAAAAGAATGAAGGCGACTAAGGTTTAATTAAACTCTATACAAGCATAAAGCTAAAGAAGAAAACAATTGTCTTTCGCAAAATCACAAATCAAGAGAATTTTTCAAGTGAAGGCCGAACATTCAACAATATCAATAAAGCGGAAGAAAGAAGTACTAGAGTTGGGATTTCTTTCTGATGTTTTGGTTCATCTTGGAATTAGTGTTTAGGACTTTTTTTTCTCAAGTTATCATTCATGGCGAGCTTCCTACTCCACCCTTTACAGCAATCCATTGTTTTTAATGGAAAGGCAATCCGTATAAGCATTTGGTAAGATAATAGCTACCTCAGCGTAAAAGTCGTTACGTTTTTCACAAGGATTTGTAGAGACTGTAAGAGGGAGGTCATTCAGAATGGATAATGTAGACATTGGGAGACTCTACATATACAATATACAGTAAGTGCTCTCATTGACTCCAAATAAAAATCCACAAACCATCACCATCACCATGGAATTAAAGCACATACACTTTCTAGCAAGGATTAACCTTAAAAAGTCTCGAGACCCAAATGATAGCAATCAGACACTAAACAACAGAGCACAAGTTGATAATGTCATAAGTTGTAGCGAATTTAAAAAGAAATTTAAACAATTTGATCTGACAAGCAACTTTGTCTTCAAACTGCTAAGCACCAGCAACAGTTAATATACATGATCAGAGAAACACGCTTGCATCATAACTTCGCTCTCAAAACATGGCAAGTCCTACACAAAAGTATAGTTCCATAATTTAGTAACTTTGTATAACCGTATGTTATGGTCATCGATAATAAAAGGGTCAAGCGCACCAAAGGTTTGTACCTGTAAATACACATAGTTTCAACAATCCCCTCAAGCTGACATCTCACAAGGATTGCAAGCAAATTGCAGCATTAAGTTGCCTGAATCATGCTCATCAAGGTCGAATTTATAACCTGCAAGATTTGATTAGTTTTACTACACCATTATCCCAACAAATTTCTCTTTCATAGATCGATGTACACTAGCAAATTGTCCGACAATTTTCTGTCAAGCATTCATGAAATGTCCTTCAACTTGTACGAAAGTTTAAAGACCAAAATTTTAGAATATTCACACAACATTGATTTTGTTTAGTACTCTGATTAATTATAAATTGAGCATTCATAATTATGAGGTAGAAAAAAGAGTGTGAAGCTCACCTTGTAAGGCATCCATTGCAGCAGCTGCATGAAGCGGACTCACAAAATCAACAAAGCAATGAATCAAGGTATTGACTCGAGGCTGCATATAAGTTGATAATCAGTAGACAGAATTTTTAATTAGTAGATGATGATGTGAAACGTATATATTCTTACATATATTGATGGTTCTGGTACGAGCCTAACTTCTTTGTAACCTCCAAAATGGCGGAATATGTCTGCAATAACTGAAGTAAAGGGAAAAACTAGAATGGGCCATAAATAAAACAATAAGCTAATTTCCACACAAGAAAAGGATACGTGCCACCTCACTTGTTGTACAGTCCTCAGGCAAACCCTCTACATACAATGTACTGCTAGCATTTGGAGGAAGCATATCTTCTGGAACTTCTAAAAAGGGGAAAATCAGCACAAACAAATATCAATTAGCACTGAAACCAAACAAGAAAAGAATAGTAAAATTAAAAGCAACAAAATATCAACATTAACCTAACATAACCAAATAAGGTTTAGTATATATATATTAAAAAGAATTCCTAAATATTTATATACATATACATATATGATTGTGAACTTAGTAATATTTTAGTGCTTTTCATGATTTAGAGCGGTGTCTCTCTCTCTCTTTCTTTTGATTTATTTAAACATATTTTCATTACTTTTTCTATAATTACTGTAATGCAACAAAAAAAAGATAATAATATATTTTTATCATCTATATATATATATATATATATATATATATATATATATATATACCCCCTGGAAAAAACCCCTAGATCCACCCTTGGATTGCTTAAGTCTATATTTTAATATTGATTTTTCTTGTATTTTGATGAATTTTGTGATACATATATTAGCAATTAAAATTGAAGATTTCCTTATATGTATTGTCATTGTATAAGGTCTATTTTAGTCTTTCTTTAAAATGTGTGCTAGTTTTTCTTTCTTTATAAAGTGTGCTCCACTTTGGTGAAGCAAACACTTCGCTTCACTGAAAGTGAAGCAAGACATTGTTGATTTTATTCGCTTCATACTCCCTTCAACTCTAGTTCTAATTTAAACTCTCTTGGACTATCACCTTTTATCATCATCTGCCCATGATGATTGAAATCATTTCCTAGCTATCTTGCAACACATCAGGACTGATGTGAATTGTTTAAGATGAAGGAATCGTTGCTAACATACAAGAAACCTTGCTAGTATCCAGGTGACAATGTGATGGAATTCTCTTCTCTTTTTAGCTAGTTTTACACTGACTATCAACCTCAATGGGATACTATAGATTCACCATTACTAAATAAGCCCTTACACCAAAAGGTTCATCTAATGTATAAAAGCTATAAAAATAGCTCTAATATTCAGCACAAAGAAATTGCATTGCCCTATTCACGCGGACTTCAAACATATACTACAACTTTGTTTTTTATTTCCTCCACTTACTTCAGTAATACCAAAGACATTCTTGATGAGTATACAGGACATTCTTGGTGAGTATTCTCAATTCCTATCATAACTATATTACACCAACCACAACAAAAAGCATAAAAATTATGTTTTTAATTCAAAAGGAAAATGAACAAACTCTATTCTCGACAGACCATAAAATTAAGTTTTGACTGATTTAATAAACCCTAGTATCTACAAGTCATAACAATTAAGTTTCTGACTGAAAAAGTATATGAATAAATGCTAGTTTCTACGAGTCATAAAAATTAAATTCTTAACTAAAAAAATTAATGTAAAAACACTAATTTCTACAGATCCATCCTATTGACCAAAAAATATGTTGAAATCTTAATTGTCTCTTCTTTCTTGATAGGATTTTAAACAGATACGGGGTTGATTATATACCATATTCATTGAGAGGGATTTCCGGAGAGAGAGGAGTAAGATCCGGCGACATCACTTCCAGCTGCACAGTGATGGTGTCCTTCCGATAAGCACCCGCCGCCATATGTTAGTCCACCAGAGAGAAAATGACTTTCCACTAAGATTGAAAGAGAAAGGAAAAGGAGTGCTCACTATTTAAGGAAAGACAAAAATAATGCATTGTAAAGAAAGATCCGTCAAGTGATGAATTTACTTAAAATGAAAATCTTCTATATTAAGTAAGGTAAAAGTATCACATTTTGCCAAGTGGCAGCCTAATGTTAACAAAATTGGCAATGATTGTCTAATTAAAAAATTATGCATATTGAGATACACATTGTAAATAGAAAAAAATTCTTTATTTTTTAACTTTTTTATTTCATATTATTACTTTTAGCTTCATGTTATTAACATGTGATTCAAAGATTAAAAATAAAATATTTTCACAAAATCATTTTAGGAAAAAGTTTGAATGAATAACTCTCATTACTTATTTTTAATATAGGTATAAATTTCTTTTCACACTAAATCATTTCAAGAAAAATTAGAATGACTACCATCTATTACTCATCTCTAATATATGAATTCTTTTCACTATTTTCATTATATTTGAATATGGCAAAGGAACTTTACGCAAATTAAATAGTCTGTAAACGTAAAAAATCTAATTTTTTAAATAAGTCAATTCTTAGCAAAAATGATTCTTCTGTTGACTATTCATATATTAGCTGCGATATAGATTCTATCCACAATTTTTGTAAATTTTTTTTTATTACACTAGTTTAGTAATAGTTTTTCTATTTTCGGAAGATGATAAATTTGTATGAAGAACTTATAGATGATATATACAAAATTAGCTAAAGCTTATTATTCATTTGTTATAAACTATTAAAATGCTTAAATTATGGGTCAATAGTTAGTTAAATAGCAATTTTCAATAGATTATATTATTTCACAATGCAAATTATGTAACATGTAAGCAACCACCATGTTACATAACAAAGATATATATATATATATATATATATATATATATATATATATATATATATATATATATATATATCCATGTTACATAACAAAGAGAGAAATATATATATGAGTGTTCACCATTGATACACTTTACTTTCTATGAATTTGATGAATTTAAGGAGAGACTAGCTAGAAATCTTTCTGTCTTCTCTCATAGGCGAAGTTAAATAAAGAATTCACATAAAATGAAAATTTATTTATAAATGAGTGATTGTGTTCACCTAAATCGAAATTTACTTCTAAATATCTAATTATTTAAAACAAAAAAAAATAGTACTCCTGTGGTGCAAGGTTTATTTTATGAACCAGGTTCACATACATGTTCCAAAAATAAAATAAAGAGGTGGGAAGAGATCACTCATAAAATAGGAAAACATGTTCAAAACATCAATCCAAGTTAAACTGGGAGAAGAATGAAGGCGACTAAGGTTTAATTAAACTCTATACAAGCATAAAGCTAAAGAAGAAAACAATTGTCTTTCGCAAAATCACAAATCAAGAGAATTTTTCAAGTGAAGGCCGAACATTCAACAATATCAATAAAGCGGAAGAAAGAAGTACTAGAGTTGGGATTTCTTTCTGATGTTTTGGTTCATCTTGGAATTAGTGTGTAGGACTTCTTTTTTCTCAAGTTATCATTCATGGCGAGCCTCCTACTCCACCCTTTACAGCAATCCATTGTTTTAAATGGAAAGACAATCCTTGTTAGCATTTGGTAAGATAATAGCTACCTCTGCGTAAAAGTCGTTACGTTTTTCACAAGGATTTTTAGAGACTGTAAGGGGGAGGTCATTCAGAATGGATAATATAGACATTGGGAGACTCTACATATACAATATATATAGTAAGTGCTTTCATTGACTCCAAATAAAAATCCACAAACCATCACCATCACCATGGAATTAAAGCACATACACTTTCTAGCAAGGATTAACCATAAACAGTCTCGAGACCCAAATGATAGCAATCAGACACTAAACAACATAGCACAAGTTGATAATGTCATAAGTTGTAGCGAATTTAAAAAGAAATTTAAACAATTTGATCTGACAAGCAACTTTGTCTTCAAACTGCTAAGCACCAGCAACAGTTAATATACATGATCAGAGAAACACGCTTGCATCAAAACTTCGCTCTCAAAACATGGCAAGTCCTACACAAATGTATAGTTCCACAATTTAGTAACTTTGTATAACCGTATGTTATGGTCATCGATAATAAAAGGGTCAAGCACACCAAAGGTTTGTACGTGTAAATACACATAGTTTCAACAATCCCCTCCAGCTGACGTCTCACCAGGATTGCGAGCAAATTGCAGCATTAAGTTGCCTGAATCATGCTCATCAAGGTCGAATTTATAACCTGCAAGATTTGATTAGTTTTACTACAACATTATCCCAACAAATTTCTCTTTCATAGATCGATGTACACTAGCAAATTGTCCGACAATTTTCTGTCAAGCATTCATGAAATGCCCTTCAACTTGTACGAAAGTTTAAAGACCAAAATTTTAGAATATTCACACAACATTGATTTTGTTTAGTACTCTAATGAATTATAAATTGAACATTCATAATTATGAGGTAGAAAAAAGAGTGTGAAGCTCACCTTGTAAGGCATCCATTGCAGCAGCTGCATGAAGCGGACTCACAAAATCAACAAAGCAATGAATCAAGGTATTGACTCGAGGCTGCATATAAGTTGATAATCAGTAGACAGAATTTTTAATTAGTAGATGATGATGTGAAACGTATATATTCTTACATATATTGATGGTTCTGGTACGAGCCTAACTTCTTTGTAACCTCCAAAATGGTGGAATATGTCTGCAAAAACTGAAGTAAAGGGAAAAACTAGAATGGGCCATAAATAAAACAATAAGCTAATTTCCACAGAAGAAAAGGATACGTGCCACCTCTCTTGTTGTACAGTCCTCAGGCAAACCCTCTACATACAATGTACTGCTAGCATTTGGAGGAAGCATATCTTCTGGAGCTTTTAAAAAGGGGAAAATCAGCACAAACAAATATCATTTAGCACTGAAACCAAACAAGAAAAGAATAGTAAAATTAAGTGCAACAAAATATCAACATCAACCTAACATAACCAAATAAGGTTTAGTATATATGTATTAATAATTTTAGTGCTTTTCATGATTTAGAGCGCTGTATCTCTCTCTTTCTTTTGATTTATTTAAACATATTTTCATTACTTTTTCTATAATTACTGTAATGCAACAAAAAAAAGATAATAATATATTTTTATCATCTATATATATATATATACACACCCTGGAAAAACCCCTAGATCCACCCTTGGATTGCTAAAGTCTCTATTTTAATATTGATTTTTCTTGTATTTTGACGAATTTTGAGATAAATATATTAGCATTTAAATTGAAGATTTGCTTATATGTATTGTCATTGTACAAGGTCTATTTTAGTCTTTCTTTAAAGTGTGTGTTAGTCTTTGTTTCTTTATAAAGTATGCTCCACTTTTGGGAAGCAAACACTTTGCTTCACTCTAAGTGAAGCAAGACATTGTTGATTTTTTTCGCTTCACGCTCCCTTCAACACTAGTTCTAACTACCTATCCCTAATTTGAACTCTCTTGGACTATCGTCTTTTATCATCATCTGCCCATGATGATCGAAATCATTTCCTAGCTATCTTGCAGCACATCAGGGGCTGATGTGAATTGTTTATGAAGCAGGAATTCCTCTTCTTAGCTAGTTTTACACTGACTGTCAGCCTCAATGAGATACTATAGATTCACCACTACTAAATAAGGCCTTACACCAAAAGGTTCACCTAATGTATAAAAGCTACAAAAATAACTCTAATATTGAGCCCTAAAAAATAGATTTGCCCTATTCACGCGGACTACAAACATATACTACAACTTTTTTTTTATTTCCTCCACTTACTTCAGTAATACTAAAGACTTTCTTGATGAGTATACAAGACATTCTTGGTGAGTATTCTAAATTCCTATCATAACTATATTACACTAACCACAGCAAAAAGCATACAAATTAAGTTTAAATTGAAAAGGCAAATAACAAACTCTATTTTCGACAAGCCATAAAATTTAATTTTTGACTGATTTAATAAACCCCAGTATCTACAACTCATAAGAATTAAGTTTCTGACTAAAAAAGTATATGAATAAATCCCAATTTCTACAAGTCATAACAATTAAATTCTTAACTAAAAAATAAATGTAAAAACCCTAATTTCTACAGATCCACCCTATTGAGCAAAAAATATGTTGAAATCTTAAATTGTCTCTTCTTTTTCGATAGGATTTTAAAAGATACAGAGTTTATTTGATACCATATTCGTTGAGAGGGATTTCCGCGAAGACGGGAGTAAGATCCGGCGACATCACTTCCAGCTACACAGTGTTGGTGTCCTTCAGATAAGCACCCACCGCCATATGTTAGTCTACCGGAGAGAAAATGAGTTTCCACTAAAATTGAAAGAGAAAGGAAAAGGGCAAGAGTATTTGGTTGGACATAGTTCAGAATCGATGTAATTGAGGAGTTCTCATTATTTAAGGAAAGACAAAAAAAATGCATTGCAAAAAAAGATCCGCCCAAGTACAATGATGAATTTACTTAAAATGAAAATCTTCTATATTAAGTAAGGGTAGAAGTATCACATGTTGCCAAGTGGCAGTCTAATGTTAAAAAAATTGGTGATGATTGTCTAATTAAAAAATTATTTCATATTTAGATACACTTTGTAAATAGAAAAAAAAATCTTTATGTGTTTACTTTTTTATTTCATATTATTACTTTAAGCTTAATGTTATTAACATGCGATTCAAAGATTAAATATAAAATAATTTCACAAAATCATTTTACAAAAAAGATTGAATGAATAACTCTCTATTACTTATTTTTAATATACGTATAAATTTCTTTTTACTCTAATCATTTCAGGAAAAAGAATGACTAACCATCCATTACTCATCTCTAATATATGAATTGTTTTCACTATTTTTATTATATTTGAATATGCCAAAGAAAATTTATGTAAATTAAATGGTCTGTAAATGTAACAAACCTAAATTTTTAAATAAGTCAATTCCTAGCAAAAAAATTCTTTTGTTGACTATTCATGTATTAGTTGCGATAGAGATTCTATGAACAAATATTTTTAAAAATTGTTTTTGATTACACTAGTTTAATAATAGTTCCTCTATTTTTGGAAGATGATAAACTTATTTGAAGAACCTATGGATGAGATATATAAAAATTAGCTTAAGCTTATTATTCATTTGCCACAAACTATTAAAATACATAAATTATGGGTCAATAGTTAGTTAAATAGCAATTTTCAATAGATTATATTATTTCACAATGCAAATTATGTAACGAACCACCATGTTACATGACAAAGAGAAAAATATACGAGGACCCACCAGTGATATACCTTCACTTTCTATAAATTTAATGAATTAAGGAGAGAATAGAAAACTTAATGTCTTCTCTTATAGGCGAAGCTAAATAAAGAATTCACTTAAAATGAAAACTTGTTTATATATGAGAGATTTAATTTGTTCAACTCAATCTAAAATTACTTATAAATAACTAATTATTAAAAACACAAAAAAAATACTCCTATGGTGCAAGGTTTATTTATTAAAAAGTACTTTTAGGTTCTTAGAAACTATAAAATTGTTGAACGTTCATACATATAATTACTAAGGTTCAGTAAAACTATCTTACTTGTTGTTAGTTTTAGCATAGGTTCAGCTAAAAGTATCTTAGCAGTAGTCATATGCGGATGATGATATATGTTCAACCACGCTGGGCTAAAGAGTGGCCTCTGGGCAACACATGTATTATTTAGATCTACAGCCCACCAAAGATTAAACTAGAATTGGCAAGGGCCGCGCGATCGCAAGCCTCTTCAGCAAAAAATTATGACGTAGGCTCGACCACTTGGGCCGACCTTAGGCAAGTACCCCTTCAAAGTGCAATAGAGGTCATAAGCCTAGGCCATGGGCCTTCATGATCAACCATTGACCCCGTCCAGGTAAGTATGTTATTTTATCATACTTGGCCCAATATTATACCTCCTCCTTCTGTCTCCATCTTCCCTATTTGTCGATGTGGGATAACTGGATTCTTCTGTATATATATCAAAATTTTCATCGTTGAAATAAATTAGTTACGTAAAAAACAAAATTGTAGTCTTAGACAACAATAACATATAAACACATTTTAAAATACGAACTACTATAAGTATGGATTACAAAATATAAGTACTTGATGATTCTGTTAGATTTTATTTGCCCTGATTTCTTACCATAAATAGGTTTTCCTTTTAGAAAAAGGTTTTGGATTGACTAATCCTTTTTCTGGTAGGAAAAAGTTTAGGACTCTATAAATAGAGGCATGTTCCTTCTAACTTAATCAAACAATGTAGTCTAAGGGCTTTGAGAGTTTTGGTTAGGGAGATAATTTATGGGTCACAAGCTTGATATGTTATCACTTGTGCGAACCTCCCATGTATCTTTGTGTCTTTTTGGTGTATTTCTCGTTGTCTTCTTACTCGTGGTCTTTCGAGGTTTGCTTTGCTAGCTTCCGCATTTACACCTACTTATTTTCGATCCTAACATGTTCGTGCTCCCAAAAAATTATTATTTCCTCTCATGTTTGTAAATTTGATTCAACTAAGGCTTGTCGAATTTCATAATGACTTATTTTTAACTGATTTATATATGAACATAGGATTAGAAAGTCTAATGAGTTCTTCAAGGTTTTGCACAAACTTGACCTGTATAGTTTAAGTCTTCAATTAAAACTACTCTTTTTAACCAAATTTGCATTGCATATTCTTTATATTAAATTACAATGTGTTAAAGCATCTCTATTAATCCCATGTTTTATTTTAAGGAAATCACATTTGAGAAAGTAAATAGTTTCTGGATAACCAAAAGAAAGTATAAGATATTAATATCATAGATGATAAAGGGAATTAGATAAGGTCATTTTTTTTTGATTGAGTTGGAAAATCATCACATATAATCACATATTTTTTTTCACACATATTTCCGTATTTACATGTCCTTTTAGAAATCATATAAATTTCTCAATTTTTCGTGTGTATTAGCCCCTGAATCTGACACTTAGAGCACCTAAAATCTTCTTTTCTCAAAATAATTTATTAGCACCTCCGTATTGAGGGATAAACTATCACTTATACTCACACAAATTTTTCATGTCCATTTTTGTATCTACAAGAACTTTTATTGGAATCACGTGAATTCTTCAATTTTTAGTGTGAATTAGCCCATGGATCTGACGCCTGAAGCATCCAATTTTTTTTATCAAAAAGCATTATGATGACCTCTATATTGAGTTGGGGAACACTCCCGTATATACTCGCACCATTTGTTCATGACCATTTTCGCATCTACAAGCCCTTTTAAGGAATCACACAAAAATTCTCATTTTTTCATGTGTATTAGCCCACAATTCTGGCGCCGAGAGCACCAACGATTTTATTCAAAAAAATATATGAGGACCTCCTTATTGAGTCCAGGAATCAGCAGGTATACTCACACCATTTTTTCAAGATCATTTTCACATCTCAAACCCCTTTTATAGGAATTGCGAATTTCTCAATTTTTCGTGTTTATTAGACCATGGATCTGGCATACAAGAACCCAAAAAAATTTATTAAAAAACATTATGAGGACCTCTGTATTATATTTGTAACCATCACATATACTCATACCTATTTTTCCACGTCATTTCATCATCTACAGACCCTTTTTAGAAATCATGCAAAATTCTCAATTTTTCATGTATATTAACTTATGGATCTGGCGCCGGGAGCACCCAAATTTTGTTTCTAAAAAATCTTTATGAGAACCTACATATATAGTTGGAGAAACATCACGTATACTCACACCATTTTTTATGCCTAGATCCGTATCTACAGGCCCTTTTTTGGAAATCATATAAATCTTTCAATATTTCATGTGTATTGACCCATGGATCTAGTGTCTGGAGCACCCAATTTAATTTTTCAAAAAACTTTATGAGGAACTCCGTGTTGAGTTGGGAACAATCACATATACTCACTTCATTTTTTCACGCCTATTCCGCATATACATGCCCTTTTTAAGAATTACACAAATTTCTCAATATTTTTATTGTATTAGTCCACGGTTCTAGCGCTCGGAGCACCCAGAATTTCATTCTAAAAAAATGTATGAGGACCTCCTTATTGATTTGGGGAATCATCATATATACTCACACTACTTTTTTTTAGCCTATTTCCGTATGTACATACATTTTTTAGAAATTGTGCAATTTTTATTATTTTTCATGTATATTAGCCTATGGATCTAGCGCAAGGAGCACCTACATTTTTTCTCTCATAAAGTTTTATGAGGACCTCCGTATTTAGTTGGGTAATCATAACGTATACTTTCACCATTTTCACGCTTATCTTCACATTTACATGTCTTTTTTCAAAAATTGCGCAATTTACTCAATTTTTCGTGTGTATTAAGCACATGGATCTGGCGCTAGAACAACTAAAATTTTTTTTCTCAAAAAAATTTATAAAGATCTCTATATTGAGTTGGGAAATATCATGTATAATCGCACCATTTTTTCATGTTCGATTCCGCATTTCCAGGCTCTTAATATATGAATTGCACTAATTTCTTGATTTTTTGCATGTATTAGCCAATGGATCTGGCGCTAGGAGCAAACAAAAATTTATTTTTAAAAACTTTTATGAGGAGCTCCGTGTTAAGTTGGGGATTATGAAATATACTCGCATCATTTTTTTCGCACTCATTTTCCATTTACATGTCTTTTTTTTTGGAGATTGTGCAAATGCCTCAATTTTTCTATATGCCAAACCAATTGATTTAACGCCTAGAGCAGCCAAAATATTTTTTTCTCAAAATAATTTATGAGGACCTCCTTATTGAGTCAGGAAATCATCACGTATACTAACACAATTTTTTATGTCCATTTACGCATGTACAAGCTCTTTTAAAAATCACGCAAATTACTTAATTTTTAAGTGTGTTCTGGCTAAAGCACCTAAAAAACTTTTCTTAAAAAATTTACGAGGACCTCTATTATTGACTTGGGAACAATCACGTATAGTCGTACTATTTTTTTAGCACCCATTTCCGCATCTACACATTGTTTATTAGAAATGACGCAAATTCCTCATTTTTTTGTGTGTTAATGCCCATTGTTCTGGCGTCCGAAGCACCCAAAACTTTTATTTACCAAAAACATCAGTAGGACATCATTATTGAGTTGGAAAACTATCACGTATTTTCATACTACTTTTCAAGCTTACTTTCGCATTTATAGGCCTTTTTTAGGTATTGCGCAAATTTCTCTATTTTTCGTGTGTATTAGATCACGGATTTGGCTTCTGCAGCACCCAAATTAATTTTATTTGTAAAACTTTATGAGGACCTTTATATTAAGTAACCGTCATGTATACTCACATCATTTTTCATGTTCATTTCTACATCTAGAGGCCCCTCTTTAGGAATCGCGCAAATTTCTCAATCTTTCATTTGTATTAGCCGATGGATCTAGTGCCTGGAGAACCAAATTTTTTTTCTCAAATTATTTTATGAGGACCTCTGTATTAAGTTGGGGAACAATCAAATACAGTCACACCATTTTTTTTACATGCAATTCTGCATCTACATGCCATTTTAGGAATCATGCAAATTCCTCAATTTTTTGGGGAGTAATAGCCCACTGTTTTGAAGCCCATAGTACCCATATTTTTATTCTGAAAAAACTTTATGAGGACCTCCTTATTGAGTCAGGGAACCATCATGTATACACACATCATTTTTTTCAAGCCCATTTGCCGCATCTACAAGCCGTTTCTGGGAAATGCTAAAATATCTCATTTTTTCATGTGTATTAGCCGATTCATGGATTTGGCGCCTCTAGCTCCCAAAAAATTCTGAAAAAACATTATAATATCTCTTTATTGATTTGGAGAACCATTACGTATACACGCACCATTTTTTCACGTCCATTTCCGCATCTACAGACCCTTTTTTAAGAATCACACAAGTTCCTCAATTTTTCGTGTGTAGTAGCCGATGGATCTGGCGCTCGGAGAACCCAAATTATATTTTCTCAAAAAACTTTACGACGACCGCTGTATTAAGTTGGGGAACCATCATATACTCACATAATTTCTTTTATGCTCATTTCCGCATCTAGAGCACAAAAAATTTTTCTCAAAAAACTTTATGAGATCCTCCGTATTTATATGGAGAACCAACTTGTATACTCAAATGATTTTTTTTCATCTCATTTCCGCATCTATAGGTTTTTTTAAGGATTCACACAAATTCTTCTTTTTTCATGTCTATTAGTCCATAGATCTAGCGCTCGAAGCACCCTAATTTTTAAAAAAGAAAGCATTACGAGTACCTCCGTATTGAGTTGGGAACCAACACGTATACTCACACCATTTTTTCAGGTCTGTTTCCGCATCTAGAGGCCCTTTATAGGAATTGGTCAAAGTCCTTAATTTTCGTGTGTATTAACCTATGGATCTAGAGCCTAGAGCACCGATTTTTTTTTTCAAAAAAAGTTTATGAGGACATCCGTATTGAGTTGGGAAGCAATCACATATACTCGCACTAATTATTTCACTCCCATTTCCACATCTTCAAGCCCTTTTTAGAAATCGACTAAATTCCTTAATTTTTCGTGTGTTGATGCCAATGGAGCAAAGGCCTGGAGCAACAAACAATTTTCTCAAAAAATTTGTGAGGACCTCCTTATTAAGTTGGGTAACAATCATGTATACTCACATTATTTTTTCAAGCACATTTTTGTATTTACTAATCCTTTGCTCAGATTCCTCAATTTTTCATGTGTATAAGACCATGGATTTGGCGCCAGAGCACCCTAAATTTTTTTCTCAAAAATATTATGAGGACTTCGTATTGAATTGGGGAGCTATAATGTATAATCGCACCAATTATTTCACTCCCATTTGTGAATGTATAAGTCCTTTTTAA